CGTGAACGAAGAAGCTGGGAAGCCCAGCTTGAGGTGCTTTGGTTGTTACTTTAGCCAACCAGCATTTCTTGAATGTTCATTCTGTGCTGGATACTGTGCTAGGTGTTGGGATTGTGTAGATGAATACAATACCAGTGATGCCTGTTCCCAAGAGACTCACATTACTGCTGTAAGGGAGAAATACCCTCAAGTACCCTTTAGCAACTTGACAGGGGTAAGCATATAGACACAGTCTAAGGCACTGGTTCTCACTCCAGGCCATCAGAACCACCTAGAGGTCTTCTGTAAAAGCTGGCGTGTTGAGCACCAGCCCTGGACCCCTGATTCAGTACGTGGAGCTCTAGAACTTGTATTTCCACCAAGCTTCAGAATAAGTAAGAGTTCCCCAGGTGGCGAATGTACTTTAGGAAAAAATATTCCATCTAGCAGTTTTGGAGGGGAGGGAAGATGTACCCTGGAATTTATTTGGGCATAAAACACTTCTAGCCAAGCAGGATTCTCCTGACCATTCAGAGGAGTAATTCTCTAGGTTCATCCTGTTCATTTTGGAGTGCACCCATAGGTATGGCTCTGCAGGGCAAAATTACGATGTGTTGTGTGTGAAAGAGAGACTAGTCTGAACCCATTTATTGCTAAGGCAAGTGTGGTGTGGGTGAAAGACTCAGAGTGGCCTGTCTAGCATCTGACTGCCTGTGAACAGCAGAGCCAGGAATAAAGACTAACTTTTGGACTCCTATCTCAGTGTTCTTTCCAGATACATCCATGTCCTTTCTTTGCCCTTTCATTTCCTTGGGGCCGACAAGGCTGTTAATGCCTAAGCAATTTCATCTTTCCAATCCTCCTCCACTCCCAGCCCCCACTGCCACCCCTGCCCAAGTCCTGCAGGCAGTCATAGAAGAGTTAACTTTTGTTGGACTGAAGGCCTGAGCCAAGTACAGAGTGTCCATTGTGTGCCCGCCTCCTCAGGAGGAGTCACTGACTGCTGGAATGTGACAAGGCAAAACATTTTTACCTTGCCTTGGCTTCCCCAACTCTGTGAGTGTGTGAGCGTGTGTGTGTGCTCACACACACGTTTTGGCAGGACTTAATCACAAGAGGACTTGCAGTTGATACCCAGACTCACCAAAAAATTGAACTGTGAATTTAGGGAGGCAGGTACGTGCTGGGAAGAAAGCTAAAGGAGAACAACAGCTCTGTGTGCTGTTGAAGTAAACAGACAGGTTAGGTTTCTTTGCTCTTTCTTTTGAAAGCTTATTTTATTTTATTTTTCCAAGATGAGGGTCACATATGGACACAAGGGGCTGGATTACAATCCTCAAGATAGGCAGCAGATTTGGCTGGGGCTGCTGCCTGGTTGGGTGGAGTTGCAGTGGGAGTAATTTGAACTCTTAAGACTTTGAATAGCTGTCAGGGGAGAAGCTGTTTTCATTCAGAAAAAAACTTGAAATCCTCCAAATGCCCAGTCCTGCAATGGGTGCCATAGGTAACGTAAGCATTGTACAACCATTGTTAGTTCTCAGCCTGAGGCTGAGCTGCAATCATGTTAGAAAAATAAGATTTATGTGCTCAAAAAACCTAGAAGACAATACAAAGCTGGTATATAGTGGCAAACTATAGAGCTGGGTGCAATGTCAGTCCGGCCAAGGAGTGAGCACTGTGGTCTGGACTTTCCAGAACGTTGCCTTGGAGAAGTGAAGACTTGGGGATGACCTGTAAATATGGAAAGGCTGGGGATCTTTTTATTCATTTGTTTATTCATTCCTTCATGCAACAAACATTTGGGGAACACCAACTGCGTGGCCAGCATTGCAAAGATGAGAGGAAGTGGCTATAAGAACAGATAGACACTGGTTTGACTTGAGTAGTGAGTGCAAGTTGGTGTCTAATTTGCCTTGGATTTTAAGGTGAGACCAGTATGAAAAGTCTGGAATAGATGTTTTCCTAAAGATTAAGGCTATTGGAAATTGCATTACTGTTTTACCTACAGTATTTATTATGATATACTCCCATTGTCCTGGTTTGGGTCTTCAAGCAACATGAATGAAATTTCAGCTGAACCTTCTTAGGACCCCCGGCCTCTAACATCAGGTTCCCTTAATCCAGCTCTCACACCACGCGCCAGAATTATCTTCCTAAATCGTAACTTTGATAGTATTCCTTCCCCACTGATATTCCGCAAATAGCTTCCCTTTACCTGTAAGATAAAATCCAAACTCATTAGCACAACATTCAATGATGTCCATGACCTGGCCATGACCTTTTATTTCCAGCCGTACCTCTCACAGGTTCCTAGTTTCTGCCATACTTTCTAGCCAAACACCAACTTTCTCTTTCTTATACATAACGCTGCATGTGCCTGCCCAGGAAGTGGCCTCATGCCTTCCCTTTCTCTGCCATGTCTTCCTTCTTCCTGCTCTACCTAGGAAACCCACAGCAAGATCAAAGCCCTGTCTTGTGCTCTCCTCGAAGGCTTTCTGTGTAGTTTCCTAGCTGTCTACACCTTGCCCAAGTGAAGAAAACATTTTCTTCCTTTTGATTCTATCCTTTCTTACAGTACATAGAAGTTCTGCTTTGTTTTAGAGTGACTTGTCAAATCTCCCATAAAAAGCGTACCTTCCTTGAGGAAAGAGATTGTATTTTCCTAGTATCTTAGTATTTTGATTTGAGGAGAACTGAAAAAAGTTGTTGAATTGAACTTTTATTTTGTTGTGGATCTCAGTACTTAAATTTTAAGTTTTGGAACTTTGTCTTGTACACATAGTTATGCATTTATAGTTAAATGCAATAAATGATTGTTTATTTCACTCTGAAATGAATCCTTTTTTGGATGGAAGATAAATATATTCACTGTATAAGCCCATCCATTCATCTAAAGTTTAGGGTTTGCCCTCTTTCATTGTATCACAGAATCTGTAACATACATTTCCCTACTCTGGTTCCAAGGTCCAAATGGATTTCATTTAGGAACTTTATATGTATGTGCCTTGCCTTTTCTCCTGACCTGAGGAGATTCTATAGGTAGGTATTAGAGAATTAAAATGTGATTGGAGATTCCTGCCCAAGGGAATAGACTCTGAACATTGCTACCGTAAGAAAACATGGCTTGCAATTTGTGTGGATCTGGGATACAGACTGAGAAAGACCTACTAGATTCTTACCGCTTGACAAATGTGGAAATGTTCTAAGGTATATTGATGTCTCCAGCAGCTGGGGTGGTGCCTGACACTAGAAAGACAGGCCTCTGTAAAGTCGACTTAAGTACAGCTTTTTAAAAATGATGTGTGTTATTGGGCAGATAAATCTAGATGAGACAAAGAATCTTATAAGTAAGAGAAACATCGAGTGTCATCTGTTCTGACTTCTCCCTACCTCCCAAAGTGGAGACTTTGTCCATCTCGTAGCTTGGGTCACCGGTGGCCGTTTGCAGTGTTTGTTCAACAGTGTCAGTGAAGATGCTCATGCTCTCACTAGGGCAGCCTCTTCTCTTTCAGAAAAGCTGTATTCATTGAATCTTCCCTGAAGTGGAAGCAGTTGTAAATGTGTCTTTCTGCAAAGCTGAGCAGTTTCCGCCGGTAGCTGAATTACTCCTGGGGTTCTCTGGGGAGCAGGGTCCACGTGGAAGCCGGGGCTACCCTCCCGGCTGGCTTCCTTACCCGGGTGTCAGCTATGTGCTGATTCTGGAGAGAGAAGACACACGTCTGGTCTTCAGCCTTCCAGTTTGTGGTTCTTCTGAATGTGTCTTTGCAGGCATCATTGGGCATTTTCTGGTGGGCACATTTGCCAGCCACTTCTATAAATTGATGCGTTCAGAGGTAGAAACCTAAGATGTACAGTCGTGTCTTCTGCTGGGAAACTTCAGCTGCTGGGAAGGTTTGAATGTGATCCAGCCTACAGCCTAAGGGCAAAAGGATGTGATGTTTGCAGCCCCAGGGGTTTTGGTTTTCTCTTGAGACTGAGCATTTGGGCTTCCTTTTGGGCTTTGAAAATTATGAGGATTAAATTGGGAATGATGGAACATGGGGTGAAGAAGCGTGAAGGAGAGTCTAGCTGATCCTGTGACAGTTACGAGAGACCCTAATTGATTTTTCTCTTCTCATCTTGGAGGAAGGCAGAGGGGAAGATCCTGGGGGGATTCCTGACACTTCCACAGACCTGCAAAATGTTCCTTCTCTCCCTTTTTCTCTTTTGCTGCTGCAGAGACACAATACCACTTCATTTAAGAAACCAGAAAGGGATTACAACTGTCTAGAAAGGGTATTTTTATCTAAATAATTGATAATGATTAAATATCTCTCTTTTGTGTCATGGAAACATTTGTGGAGGTTGTTTTTTGTTAATCACGGTGTTGTAAGTGATTTCCCGCTAAACTCTTTTTATTTTCTTTTTGCGAGCCTCACACCTAAGCTTTACATTTGCTTGAAGAAATAGCATAGTCTTTGCATAACTGAAATAATGCATAGTGAAAAATGACAAAGGTAAACCGGTTTAGAGATAGGCTGAATGCCCCTCCTCCAAGTGGGTGGAGAGCTTGGCACCGGCAGCCTGGGGGTTGTGTTCAGCTTTGCAAACTGTTCTTCGCATGTGAGAGAGAAGTGGTGCAAAAAGCCAACCAAATACACTTCCCACAGACCTGAGCCTGAACACTTCAGACTTCCCTTTCGTCATGATTGGTTTTAACAGTGACTCAGCCAGCTGAAGCTTCAGTGTAAAGAAACGTCTAGCTTGCTACTGGGCTGGAGGACTCGCACTTCTTATCTTTATTCTTGGGCCTACAGCCACAAAATTAATAACAATCCATTACGAAGGCGTGTGTGAATGTGTTTTTTCCTCTGCTCTAGTAAAATCCAATTTGGGGTTGTGCACATTCTGGTTAGATTTTTTTCCATCGTTTTTTTTTCGGATGCCATAGATAAGTGGAAAGGGGCCTCTAGAGCTTAGATTGAGTAACCTTTGGGATCATTTTCCTTTCTGCCCTGGCTAACTGTGTCTTTGCTTCTCAGTTGCAGATCTGATCTCTTCTCAACTCATCGTGTCTCCATCCCTGGGAATCTGACCCTAGCAACTGGACCACTTTGTTCTTGGAATTTTGGGTGTCCTCTCTTTTCACCTTTCCTTTTTCCCTTTATCCCTTCCCCCTCCTGAGAACTCCTGAAGACTGTAGAGATTGTCATGGAGTCCAGGGAAAACTTAAGCAGCTCCCGGCAAAGAGGGGGCGAGTCAGACTTCCTGCCGGTCTCCTCAGCCAAGCCCCCGGCTGCTCCTGGCTGCGCAGGAGAACCTTTGCTCTCCGCTGCAGGACCTGGGAAGGGGATCCCGGTGGGCGGAGAACGCATGGAGCCAGAGGAGGAGGATGAACTGGGCTCAGGGCGGGATGTGGATTCCAACTCCAATGCGGACAGCGAGAAATGGGTGGCAGGAGATGGCTTGGAAGAGCAGGAGTTTTCTATCAAGGAGGCGAACTTCACAGAGGGAAGTCTGAAGCTAAAGATTCAGACCACAAAGCGGGCTAAGAAACCCCCAAAGAATTTGGAGAACTATATATGCCCACCTGAGATCAAGATCACCATCAAGCAGTCTGGGGACCAGAAGGTGTCCCGTGCTGGAAAAAATAGCAAAGCTACGAAGGAGGAAGAAAGAAGCCACTCCAAAAAGAAGGTAGGAACCCCTGTCTTGTAGGGTTTTTTTGTTTCTCTGTTTTTGCCATTTTATCCTCAACTTTTTAGGTTCTGTTTGCATATTACAGTTGACTCTAGAACAACATGGGATTAGGGACTCAGACCCCTGCACAGTTAAATCTGTGAAAAACTTTTGACATTCCCCAAGAACTTAACTAGTAATAGCTTACTGTTGACCGGAAGCCTTACTGGTAATATTAACAGTTGATTAACACATATTTTTATATATTATATGTATTATATACCGTATTCTTTGAAAAACTAAGCTTGAGAAAAAAAGATCTTAAGAAAATCAAAAAGAAAAAATATATTTGCTGTTCATTAAGTGGAAGTGGACCATTATAAAGGTCTTCATCCTCATCGTCCTCATGGTGGGTTGGCTGAGGATGAGGTAGAAGAGGAAGGGTTGGTCTTGTCATGTCAGAGGTGGCAGAGGCAGAAGAAAATCTTCATATAAATGGACTCTTGAAGTTCAAGTCTGTCTTGTTCAAGGGTCGACTGTACTTATCTACTCATTAATTACCAATCTCCTTGATGGAATATTTATGGACTCAAGAAGAAACACCTCTGCTTTAATCTTGGTTTAATGTCTAGTTCATTATTATATCTTCTGCCTATCTGACAAAAAAATAGCTTTTGAATTGTAATTTTGGAGAGTTCCTGTTTATTATATAACAGCCAATTGCCTGGGTCAGCTATGCCATAACAAAATTTTTAGTATTTTTTTTCTTAATGTTTGCATTTGTTTTCATACTTAGGACTGAGATGTTAAAAACATTTGGGTTAATCAGAACAGTCAAGAATTGTTAAAACTGCCTTTTGATTTTAGTCATTACTATTGTAAATCTTCCTAAGATGAATCACTCGCTTGCCTAAGAAGCTTGGGCTTTGTAGTAACTGAGACTCTCACAGAGCTGAAAAATCATCATTGTGAAAGCCACTGATGAGCATTAGAACTGGAACTGTAGAAAAACAAGAAAAGGGGCAAGTGATTGGCCTGAATCTTTGTCCAACACGTCATGAACTTTTAAGATCGGACATTGACTCAACTTGGTTGGTTTTCATTTTCCTCTTAAAAGTCAAACATGGATGTGCAAAGTAGCCAGACAGGTGGTTGGTGGTGTCAGTTGGTTGGGAATGAATGAGTTCATGTTTTGTTAAATTTATTTTGTATCATAGGGGGTTACAGTGACTTACAGTGGCCTCCCTTCCTGTGTGTGTACACTCAGCTGTGATAGCAGAGGAGTGCCTTAGTATAGTAAGTTTTTGTCTTCAAGACTCTTTGGGACTTGGGTGGCTCTGGAACAAGCCCTTTTCTTGACAAAGTTTTGGGATTCTAGGTTGTAGGTATTAATCATAGTCTTTGTCACTCTCTCCCTGATATTTGATCATTTATTTGGGCTCTAGCTATGTGGATTAGCTAAAGTTGGCACAGATGAATGAACCTCTCTTCTTTATAGCCCAGAGATAATCTATAGCATTTTTGTTACCAGTAGGGTATTTTTTTTTAAAGCTTCTGGGTATTTTCAATAAAATCACTAGGAATCATATTATTTCTTTAGCATAGGACTTGTGTTCATCCTTATATTGGGTGTTTTGGCTGATTTGTTGCATTTCAAATCCCAAGAATAGGCTAGTAGAGACTTTCTAGGGTGACTGACTCCTCACAGTTTGCCCCAAAAATCTGTTGTGGTTTTAAGACTGAAAATTCTGCATCCAGAAATCGCCCCAGTTCTTAGCAAACTGGGACAACTGGTTACCTTCTTTTAACATTTTAGAAGACAAAGGAACCTTTAGAAATTGGTTTGTTTTGCTAGAACATAGAGATTGTGTTCTCTCTTCCCCCATTACAACTTTACAGTTATTTCTGGGTACTCTGTGGGCCAAATCCACTCTGCTGCCTCTACACATACAAAAACTTCTGAGATTCATGCAAGAAAATGCAACAGTTCAAATCAGGCACTAAAAGTGAGTCTTTGCGTTGGAGTTGGGTCTCTTCAGATACAAAAGTGAATATCTTTGTCTCTGGCCATTGAGTTGGCCAGTTCTTTGTGTTTTGTTGTATTTTTGTGTGGGTGAGTTATCTTGAAAAATGGTTACTCTTTGTCTCCATCCTCTTCACTGCCAGGATTTAAACAGCAACCCACAGTTTTGGGTGTTCAAACCCAAATTCACTACCCTAAAAAGAGAATACATTGTCCTAATTAGTTACCACTTTTCCTAACGCCACTGATTGTTCCCAAATATAGCTTTCTGCCCATTGGAACACACCAGAATAACGCTTTGGAATCTGTACCATGGGGATGATTGCAAAGCTGAAATGTTCCAGTGGACACTGGTGTTCATATCTGAAGTTCTCAGGCTGGTCATTTTCACCCAAAAAGCTGGATGCTCTCCGTGGACCTTATGGGAAGGAGATAAAATTGCTTATTTGAATATGTGATTTGCCAAGTAAGCATCTTTATGCCTCAGCAATTAGAGGGGACAGAGAGGAAGGAGAAGGGGTGAAACTCAACGCACAGTGCTCTTTGTGATGACACTGTGGTGGGAATACCCTTCAAAACTTTTTAGTTATTAGGAGTTTGCTTCATATGGTACTTCTCCATCCTTCTTACATTTATTTATGCCTATCACTGTTACTTTCCAGAAATGAATTAATAAAGCTATCATCACTGAGCCTCAATGACTTGATAGATGACAGGAACATCCTCTGATCTCTATGGGATGAGAATGTTAACTTTATTACCCTTCAAATCCCTGCTGTTTTGCAACTAGAGCGTAAACAAAAGCTGAAGCTGAGGGTGAGATGTGGAAACCTTGCCTACCATTTGTGTGGAAAAGTTCAGTGGTGTAAACTTGCAGAATTTACTTATTTGTATGAATGAGAAGAACATGATCAGTAATTTGGCACAGAATGGATGAGGATGGCATTTTGTAAGCAGCATACCAGCATCTAACCCTAAAATCGCCTTCTGGATCTATTTTTGTAAGTTGTACCACTCTTTGAAGAGGTGTACTTGGAGTGGCCTCTGGGAAGCAGGTCCTACTCTAGGAGCTAGAAAGGAAGCCTTGTTCAGCTGGTCTTTGAGCTGGTAGCAATTCCTACTAGGCAGTCATCTGAATATAGGTGCTGACTTTGAGCTGGGGTTGGCAAACTACAGCCTGTGGGCCAAATCCACTCCCCTGCCTGTTTTTGTATTGCCTATGAGCAAAGAATGGTTTTTTTTTTTTACGTTTTTAAAAGGTTGGAAGAACATCAAAAGAATAATAATATTTTGTAATATGTGAGGCACATGAAATTTAAATTTCAGTGCCTATAAATAAAGTTTTATTGGAACACAGCCAAGTTCATTTGTTTATGTTTTGTCTCTGACTGCTTTTTATTATAGTGGCAGAGTTGAGTTGTTGTGACAAGAGATACTATGACCTTCAAAGATTCAACTACTTATTCTCTGATCCTTACAAAAAATGTGCATTGACCCTTGACTTTGGGGAAGGACATAGAGTTTCAGGATAATGAAGGTTTTGTTTTGTTTTTAATAATTCAGCCTCCAAGTTTGGAGGCTGAGGGGAATTAGGTGTTATATTATGTGCTGCTTTTTGTTGTTGTTGTCCTTTAAGTGAACCAGTTAATTTTGCTGAAGTCATTGCCTGACGCTCAGGCAGAGACAGCTTATGTGGGATCCCAAATGATTTACTTTTTCATTGGCGTTTGGAAAGAAAGTTCTGTACGATGAGGGTAGCGTAACTTACATATCATAGGCTAGTTCTCTGTGATGTTAACTCTAGTTGTACATGGTCCACTGCTTTGGGGTGAAGGCATATATGTCTAGCATCATCAACAGCCCTGTTCCAAATTTTAAACCTAGGGCTAACTCTCCAAAGCGGAGAGGCATTATAGATGATCAGGGAATATCATCACTCAAGTAGTAAGTTGTGAGGTGGACCCCATGAAAGTGCTACCTCCCTGGCTCAAGGATGCACAGACTCTTCTAAGCAGGATAGAAGTCTCTTTTCTTCCATATAAAACTGGGATGGGAATTGAGATGCTGCTTGGGAGAGGGCCTATGATGAGTGGATTTAAATGAGGTGTGAAAGCAGCATTTGGTAGGAAGTAGAGGCTGAAGGGAGAGCTTAGAACCTACTTTGGAGCCTCCGAACTCTCCTTTGGACAGGACTAATTTTGCAGATGGACCGTACACCTGTAACTTGTTCTTTATCATGGGACCAACATGGTTGCATCTTAAACTTACTCAGGTAAGTGACATAATAACTTACACTTCCTCAGGTTACCTTCTAGGTGATTAGATTAAAACAACAGGGAACATAAAGATGAGTCTCTGGAAGCAAGTTCAGGTATAAAACATGAGCATAACATTATTCCAGTAGTCCTGGGCATGGTGGCTCGTGCTTGTAATCCCAGAATTTGGGAGGCTGAGGTGGGTGTATCACTTGAGATCAGGAGTTCGAGACCAGCCTGGCCAACATGGCAGAACCTCATCTCTACTAAAAATACAAAATTTAGCCAGGCATGGTGCTGCATGCCTATAATGCCAGCTACTCGGGAGGCTGAGGCAAGAGAATCGATTGAACCATGAGGTGGAGGTTGTAGTGAGCTGAGATGGCGCCATTGCACTCCAGCCTGGGTGACAGAGCAAGACTTCATCTCAAAAAAATCCCAGTAGTGACAGGGTTTTGAAGAGGATCCAAGCTGGGCAGGGCTTAGCAGCTCTTCTCTTTCCTGAGGATGTTGAGAGTTAGAGACAGCTGTCTAGATTCAACAGCAAGATAAGGGCATGGGAGTTCCAGATGGACGCCATACAGTGACTCAGGGTAGGAGATGTGGTCTGGTAATCTGACATGAAGCAGATTTGTTAGTTTGGATCTGCAATATGAATTTGCTGAAGCCCTCATTTCCTTGTCTTCCAAATATGTATGATTATTTCTACATGTTATAACTCAGTGAAAGATTTTAGAAGA